GGCAAAACGCCCTGGTGCTTCCCCTGCGAGCGGCCCGTCACCTCCGCCTCTGGTGGGCAGACAACCCCTGGGCTGTCACTGCAGCTGCTCCCCCCGGAGGCGCGTTCCCCGGACACTGCAGGCCGCGTCAGCCTCCACCCGGACAGTCCAGCCGGCGCTGGGCCTTGGCTGCCCCCCGCCTTGCTTGTGGGGCTTTTTGGTGTAAAAGTAGACTTTTTCCACAGGATAGCCAGCCATCACCCATAGCCAACAAAGACACGTTTCTATAACCACTCACGCGTTCTTGAAACTGCTGTCTTTCAAACGCGGGAGAACCAGGGGATAAAATCTTTGCTTTTAGGGTAAAATAATCAGTGCTTGCCGGTGTCTGGGTCAGGCCAGTATGTGACAAGGCAGGGAGACCCAAGGCAGCTTTATACATAGAGGAGATCAGGCTGCTCCCACTTGCTTCTCCGAGGCAGTTCTGGCAGGATAGTGAGCCTTTTGTGTAGCTTCATCAGAGGTTTCTTGTTACTCTTTCTTCCTTACTTAGGGCAAGGAGGTCATGCATACCTGCAAGAATGGCTTTGGTGGGCAGGGCTGCTGTGCAGTAAGTATCTGCTCTGAAACTGTAGCAAGACACACTTAAGAGTGTCTTTGTCATTGTTTCCAGTTGCTTTTGTGTTTTATTATTATGATCGTTGTTTGACTGCTTGATTTTTATCTGAGTGTCTGAGGATGTTGTTGATCTAATTATAACTCTAAAATATTCTAAAGTCTCATGCACTACTAGGTTTCTCTGCTAAATAGGAGTTGAGGAGCTGGTCTAACTGGGTTGGGTTAAGTGCTTCTGAAATGGCCTGCCCAGATGATGTAGTTATAACAGCACATCCAGCACCGTGGGTTTAGTGCTACAGCGATTTCAGCAGCTCTATTTTACACTTTTCAACGTTAATAACCAATTGTATTTGATTTACCCTTTAAAAAGCTGTAAAAGCTGTTCCAGAAGAACATGACTTAGAAATACGAAACGGGTCAAAACTCCTTTCAGCTTTGAGGACATTATGGAAATATTTTTCTGTGGTTACTGCTCAGCTGCATAGGATCTAAGGATCTAAGGATCTTAGTGTGACTAAGGATCACCGTGCATAATCACGAACCTTCTTTTCCCAAGAGAACCTATATCGGGCTTCTGCTTGTTCTTGCTGGTGCTATTCTTTCCTGGTTGCACAACATACCTCAGAGAAACATGGGATGCTCAGATGGAAACTAAGGCCCTCTTCTGACTGCACTCAAGCTTGTATTATGCTGAATTGCTCCTACTTTGATGCTCACCTGACAGAGTTTCTCTTGTAGTGGGAGTTGGAGAAGCAGCAAATTTTGCTGCCTATGCCTTTGCCCCTGCAACTCTGGTAACTCCACTGGGTGCTCTAAGTGTCCTTGTTAGGTAAGCAGTCTCAGAAATACCCTTACCTCACCTACCACCCCTTAGTGGTGAAAGCAGTTGCTGTGCTTTCCTCTATCTCTTCCCTCAGGTACTCTATTCCTTGGCCTAAATGGTTTTGGTTTTTTTTTACTATCTTTCAGTGCAGTTCTGTCTTCCACCTTCCTGAATGAGCAGCTGAATGTTCATGGGAAGATTGGCTGCATCCTGGGTATGCTGGGCTCTATGGTGATGGTGATCCATGCTCCACAGGAAGAAGAGGTTTGCAGCCTGGAGTCAATGGCAGAGAAGCTGAAAGATCCAGGTACTTAAATAAAAGGGGTCCTATCAATTTCAGGCTTGGAAATGACAGTAGATTGTAGGACAGAACTTGGCTAGATTGGGAAGGACTGAACTAAGGGGTAATCGAGCTGTTTCTTGTTCTGCGCACCAGTGGAGGTGCCAGGATAGCTTGCAGGTTGCCTCTGTGGTGGGAGAAGGCTAGGGTCTCCATGTTCTAAATATGAAAGATTGGTGACAGTCAAACAGCATTTAATGCACGTGCTCAGACAATTTACACCTTATTAACTAGCTCAAAACATAGGGAGACATGTCAGCTTCAGAATGGCTTTTTAGGACTGTCAAGTCCGCTTGACCTCGGGTGAAAGAAGCAAACAGGAACCCCACTTCACAGAGAGGGAGTCTGGATGATGCTCCCAAGTCACTGGGTCTATGCCGAAGCAAGGATGAGAACTTGGGTCATTAACAGTTACGAAGTGGGCTTTTTTTGTACTGTCTATGAGGTACAGATGCAAAAAGTGAAGAGCATGGGAATTAGCTGCAGCTGTCAGCAGAAGGGGTTGGCCTGTGGCAGTGCTGGTATAGGAGAGGGAATTCCTGTACATGAGGGTGGCAGTGGTGTGGCTGAGGGAAGACAGAGGAGGAACTTCAGGCAAAGATGAACGAGCGATTCAAGGGGTTATGCCCAAGATCAAGTAGTCCTGATATTTATATTAGAGGATGAATCAGGTTGGAAGGGTATGGTTTGGGCAATAGAATGAATGGCAGAATAAGCCACAGGAGATGGAGGAAGGAAGCACAGGGAGAAGAGCAAAGCAGAGTAACAGGTAGATGCTGCTGCTCATTAGAGGGAGCACTGTGGCAGGGCCTCGCACTCCTGTGATATGGCACTTTCCTCTTTATCTCACACAGCCCGCAGAGTTCAGCTAGGGCTTCCCAAGCGTTCTGCCACCCTCCTGGGCCTCCTGTAGCGCTGTGCCCCCTCATCTTCCTAGTCAACAAGCCCCCCACTTCCGCTAGTGCCATAGAGTCTGGCTGTGCCCCTACCCCTTCCAGCACAGACGGCTGTACCCCGATAGGCTGACTTGTGGGGTGGTGCTGTGATCAGCACTACAGAGAGCTGGTGTTGTCTCTGCAACTTTGCTCAGGCTGGAGACCAACTCTGCTTCCCAACCCTGGTCCCTCCAGGTGGAGGCTAAAAAGACAGACTGACAGGGCAGTTACCCACCTGTCCTCCATCTCTACTTGCTGTTCAGTTACATCTGTCACTGGTGCTACTGTTCTTTGATAGAACTCTTTAATTCTTCTTTCCCCAAGGATTCATTGTATTTGCTGTGTGTGTCCTGGTGAGCTCCCTTCTGCTTGTCTTTGTGGCTGGACCCCGTTACGGACAGAGCAACGTCCTGATTTATGTTTTGGTCTGCTCTGCCATCGGCTCACTTTCTGTGTCCTGCGTCAAAGGCTTGGGGATTGCCCTGAAAGAACTGTTTTCCGGGAAGCCAGTCTTGAAAGAACCACTGGGCTGGGTGCTCCTGGTGTGCCTGGTGATCTGCATCAGCGTCCAAATCAACTATCTGAACAAAGCCTTGGACATCTTCAACACATCTGTGGTCACACCTGTTTACTACGTGCTGTTCACCACAGCAGTCATGATGTGCTCTGCCATCCTCTTCAAGGAGTGGCAACACATGGTGCTAGACAACATCATCGGCACCATCAGCGGCTTTCTCACCATCGTGTCCGGCATCTTCCTCCTGCACGCCTTCAGGGACATACCCTTCACCCCCGACCTCCTGCCCCTCTTCCTGCAGCAAGGCAGGGCAGACCTGCATGCCTCCTGGAGAAGTGCAGACAGACATCAGTCATGTCAGCACCAGCCTCTTCTGCCCTCAGAGGACAAAGGCTCTCAGAGCGCAGAGGAGGAAGAGGAGGAGGAAGGTGAGAGCGTGTGAGAAAGCCTCTGAACTGCTATTTTTCTGCTCCCACTGCTGAGCAGCTCCATTGCCTCAGCTGCTGCTAGCTACTGCTGCCCTAGAGGAGTTGGCAGTTATTGTCTACCTGCCCCAGGTGCGAGATGGGTGACCTGCCACTGTCAGGAGGCTGACAGGGACAGCAGCCTCCTGCGGCTACAGATAGGAGCCCTGGGAACCGCACAGTTCCTGGGATCTGGTGCCTCTTCACTGTTCTTTTACATGAAGAATTGATCCGCCCTCATCAGGACACAGGCTTCGGCTGCGCAGAGGCCTGCAGCACTAACACAGTGCTAACCCTTACTGAATGCAAAGACCATGCATTTGGGGAGGCCTTACAGCATTTTTAAAAAATGTACTTAGAAGATTAACAGTTACAAAATAATCTAACATGGTGCTAAGATTACACAGAGAGAAGATGGATGTCTGGCTTTAAAAATGACATACCCAGAATATTAATTCAAAAATTCCTCTGTCAAGTACTTGTTTTGCTCACTCTGCTAGAATTTATTTACAGATTCACATCCAAGAACAGAATACAGCCAAAACTGGAAAACTTCAGTGGTGCTGCCACATGCTGCTGTGGCTCTTATGGAGGGACCAACCTCTTCTTGCAACGTCTCCTGTGCAGGTTGAAGCACCTGCTTACTGTATTCTATTAAAAACCGATTTGTTCAGTTACTGAGTGGCTAGTGATACATTTGTACCAAGAGCTGGGCCAGCACTGAAACATGTGAAAGATTACAGGGATAGGAAGAACCGTGCGAATGCACAAGAGAAACTCAAGATAGGGACAGGAGAGGGAATCGCTTACCATGGGAAGGAGTGACCTAAGAGTCCTTAGCTATTGAGGTAAGTTTCTGAAAGATAACTAGACAGCTGTCCCCTCACTCACATGGGTTTGTATCTGCATAGCTCTGTTTAACACATCCTGAATTTGTTCCCAGGAGGCCTGCTGGCTACAAGCCACCCGTGTTAGGAACTCACACGCCCTGTCCAGCCACCAACGGCACATGGATGCGTGCAGAACTGCTTTACCAGGTTCCTGTGTAGAGCTCCAAGCCACTATCAGTGGGTCACTCAAGGCTTCCCAGAGCCACGCTGTACGTAAACACTGCTGAAATGCTATTCTGCCTTTTCAGAGGGCGGATCAGTAGTTTGTTTTTCCAGTTAGAAGCTCCTCTCTGTGTCCTGGGGTCAGAGGTCCAGAAGACACAGCCATAGGCCTCCTTCCAGTGATCTCCACAGGTAAAGGTGCATGAGGTTATAAAGTAGCTGGTTACTTATTTCCTGCATTTAGTCTCTCTAAGCAACAAAACAGAATTCGGAGCAGACCTTCTAGCCAGAAGACAATTATGCCCCCTCCCCTACTAATTTTGCAATAAATAGGATCACTGGGAAGGAGGGGGAGTGACAAGAAGGCCAGGTTTTCAATTCTCAGTGATCATCTATCTGAACAAAGGAGAATCTCATGTTAAAAATTGACCCAGTTAATATTTATTACATTGACCAGGGGAAAGCAGTTAATGGAGCAAGTCAGTATTGACAGAGTTGTACTGCAATTTGAAAATTTGTCATTTGGCCACGTGAATAATTTACCTATGGAAGCCTGAAAGTATTTTTCTAGTAGTGACACTGCCTGGGATGATCACTGTGCCCAACAAGCTCTTCTCGCTAAGGGTACCTGTACTGGATTGCACAGCGATGATGCCTGCAGGGGCTTGTTAGAGTCTACCCAAGAGGGTTCATTTTGTGCAGCACCGTTTAAGGCAGCGGTCACAGGCTGGTAAGAGCTGGAATTCACATCAGCACTGGGAGCACCCCCTGACGCGAGTGTCACCACCCCTCCATTCAGCTGAGCGGGTGCGTTCCAAACACTTCCTGTGTAGCATTGGTAGCCCCAGAGTCCCAGCACAAAGACAGCTGCTGGCCCGCGGGGCTGGGAGCAGCACATCACCCTGACGAGGAGCGACTGTGGCTCTCTTATGGGTTCTCATCTGGCTGCAACTTCCCCGAGACTGGCATTTAATTAAATCCTAAACCGCAGAGCTGATCCTGGCTCATTCAGGCAGCAGAGTGACCAGGAGCCAGCGTGGCAGAGGGCCCGGCCTCATGGGGGGCTGGCCGGTGTCCCCCGGGGCGCGGGTCCCACTCAGTCAGACAGGCTCTCCGAGAAGGCCGACTTGGACTTCTGCGTCTGCTCCAGC